TCTCCCGCCGCCCGCCCTCGCGCGCGGCCCGTATCCCGGCGGCTCCTCCTCGGTGTCCGGCGCGCGGGGTCCCAGGGACGAACCGGGCACGAGAAGCCAGCGGCTGGTAGCGCGTACTCACCAGTGACCCCATGTCCCCGGAGACGCCGTCGGGACCGTCGCGCCGAGCCGGGGGCCGCAAGCCTCGGGACTGGGCCGGGGCTCGAGGAGGGGCCGTGGCCGGAGATGGCGCCGCCCCCGCCGCCGTGGAGAGTGTGCCGGCTCAGAGGGGCCACGTTTGCCAAGTCAGGGGGACCGAGCGGGCTCGGGGCGGAAAGAGGTCTCTAGTGAGCAAAGCTCTCCAAGAACGCCCCAGGCTACCTGGGAAAAGCGAACTCAGTAGCCTGGAAGGATTCTCTTCTGCAGGACGACTTCCTTCTCTTAGACTCCACCGTTCAAAGAAATACATTACAGATTTTTCAATTTCTTTAATAGGGCGAGAGGAGGCAGTTTCTCCTTTCCCCTAAACACAGAAAATGATCCTTCCGTGTCTCTGTCAACTCTGAAATCAAAGTACTAAAATCTTCCCTCAACTTGTATTTTTACGGCTGTACGTGAGCATCACTTGGTTTTTCCCCGGGTTGGGGATTCCTGCTTCATGATAACTAAATTGTAAATGCAAACAGTCATGTCAAACAAACCTGATATCCTGTGAATAAATTAAAGGAAATATACTTAAATTGTATGTGTTATATTTACAAGGAAACTTACTCATTTGTTCATTCCACAAATTAATGCTTCATGCTTTTTGGGTGGCAGGCTCATGAATATGGTCATTTTATAGCAGTAATACTTTGAAAATAAGGACAAAAGATACCCACTAAACTGTTTTTGAACGTGTAGAAAATACTTAAGTCATGGCTCCCTGAATGTTTTGCAGCTTTGGTGTTTGACTACCTTGTAGACCATTGGTTAAACTACATTTCAGTTATGCTGTGTAGAAAAGCAACATTTTTATATGCCTTGAATAGTCTATAACTGAACAGTTTAAAGATTATGTTATTAACTGCTAAAAATCCCACTGAAATATCCAATTTAAGCGATTTACAGCTCTGGATGGGTAAACATTTCTTTTGAGGTTATAAAACACCTTTTTCTGATGAGTAAAATGTTAATGTTCTTTATTTCCTTTCTGGTGAAATGGAAATAGATACCAATACTCAAATGTTGCTATATGTATATATTTAATGTATTTTAATATATTTTAAAATATTTTATATGTTACATATAATATATTTTATATATATATATTTTGTATATATATAAAATGTAGGAGTCCTTTAGGAGAGACAATATATAACAAGTTTCACGGAATACTCAGTATGTCTCAAGACATACTTTAATATGTGAGGCAATACAGTGCCAGACTATTCTGTATATTATTCAACAGAATGCCTGCCACTGTCTGTTAACGTGGCAATGTCTCTGTTCTTTTATTACCTTGGAAGTGGAAAGGAAAATACTTTCTGACAGTTTTCATTTTGAAAAGATCACAAACTACTGAAAATGCTCACCAATTTGAAAGAATATACGGTTCATCTTTGTGAGTCTAAACAGTTGAGAAAATGTCTTACAAACAGGTGCAAAGTGTTTTAGTTGTCCAGTTTGTGGTCAGTTCTCAATCTGAGCATATTTATGAACATGTGAAATCAGCTTGTTAATAATTAAATCCAAATTTGAGACATACAGCAAGAAAAAGGCAACAAAATACTCAAAATCAAGCTTGTCACATTCACTTAGAAACAGATTCTCACCGTGTTCTCTACTGAAGATGTCACCATCCTTGCAGTCACGTAAACTTAATTTGTCATCTTCAGTTCCTCCCTCTCACCCTCTGGTTACTTAGCCACCCAAGTACCAGGCACAGCTGGAACTGAGCTGTTGGAAAAATCTTTTAGGCCCATAATCCCAAAAGGCAATGGTTGGCTACCTTCATACTTAACTTCTTGGGTTACTGATGTACACATCTACCCAAACTTCTCCATCCTTTAAAAGACTGTCAGGTTTTCCCACCATAGTTCTCGTTATTGCTGTCATCTTGGTGAGCACCTGGACCTACCACTACTTCTGTTCTGCCTTCCTGACACCTGTAACACCCACACAGATGATTCATTCAGGCCCTGGCCTCTACGTGACCATGGCCAGACAGCTGAGCTCCAGTTATCTTCTCTCCCTTCACATCTCAACTATCAAGTCATATGGTCAGACGCCAGACACTGTCATCCCAATGATGGGACCACATCCAAATATTCTATTTCAAATATCCTGTTTCCTGACACAAGCCCTTTCTATCTATAGCCACTCTACCACCATCACTCCCTATCACATCACTGTTTTATTTTCTTAACTGCACTTAACCATATCTAAAGCCCTTTTAAAAATATACTCATTGTCTTCTGACCAGAATTAATGCTCTTTGAGGATGGGGTCTTGTTCAGTCTAGTCACTATTGTCTCCCCAGAGTCTTGCACATACTAGATACTAGTGCATTTGTTGACTGCCTCCCCCGTTGGATCATAATTGATCTTGGTTTTCTGTCTCCTGCACCTAGTAGTAGAGTGCACGCTGTAGTAGTGATGTTAGATAAGGTGAAGGAGTCCGTCCTCTCCAGTGAGTTCATGATGAGCCCCTTCTTCTGACAGCTCATCATTGTGATTCCTCTACACAGTGTCAATCAGCCAGACACCCTGATAAGAAGAAATTCAGGCAGTCCGGCCTCTACCCCACCCCTAGGTAACAAACTGGAAATGTGTTCCTAGAGCTGTCACTGCTCAGTGTTATGGGTACACGCCACTGGGCTGAAGGCACAAAGAAACTACAGGAAAGAGCAATGGGGTCATGGTTTGATATTTTCTTTTACTATATTTTGTACTGCCTCCAATACAGATTTTTATTTTTTTTTAAATTTTTATTGTTGAGATTATTACAGATGTCCCTCATCCCCCCCTGCTTTGCCCGCCTCCACCCAGCCCCAGCCCGCCTCTCCCTCTGGCCCTCATCACACTGTTGTCTGTGTCCATGGGCTGTGCACATTCCTTGGCTAATCTCTTCACCTTCTTTCCTTCAGTCTGCCCCACCCACCTCCTCTCTGAGATCTGTGGCCTGTACCATGTATCCATATCTCTGGTTCTATTTTGTTCATCAGTTTGTTTTGTTCGTTAGATTCCACATATAAGTGAGATCATACACTACAGTATTTGTCTTTCTCTGACTGGCTTTTTTCTCTGAACACATTAATCTCCAGGTCCATCCATGCTGTCACAAAAGGTAAGAATTCCTTTCTTTTTATAACTGTGTAGTATTCCATTGTGTAAATGTATCACAGTTATTTTTTTTAATCCTCACCAGAGGATTTTTTTCCATTGCTTTTCAGAGAGTGGAAGAGGGAGAGAGAGAAACATCGATGTGAGAGAGACACATCAATTGGTTGCCTTCCTCACACACCCTGACTGGGCCCTACAACTGAGGTATGTGCCCTTGGCTGGAATCAAATCAGCGACCCTTCAGTCCAATGCTCTAACCACTGAACCAAATGGCTAGGGCTCACAGTTTTTAAATCTACTCAGTTTTTGGGCACTTGGGCTGTTTCCAGATCTTGTCTATTATAAATAACACTGCTATGAACATAGGGGAGCATATATTCTTTCCTAATAGTGTTTCAGGATTCTTAGGATATATTCCCATAAGTAGCACCTCTGGGCCAAAAGGCACTTCAATTTTAATTTCTTAAGGAACCCCCATACTTTTTTCCACAGTGGCTGCACCAGTCTGCATTCCCACCAACAGTGCACTAGGGTTCCCTTTAGTCCACATGCTTGCCAAGCACTTGTTGTTTGTTGACTTATTGACAGTAGCCATTCTGGCAGGTGTGAGGTGATATCTCATTGTGGTTTTAATTGCATCTCTCTGACGATTAGTGATGTTGAGCATTTTTTCATATGCCTACTGGCCATTTGCATGTCCTCTTTGGAGAAGTGTCTTTTCAGGTCCTTTGCCCAATTTTTAATTGGATTGTGTTGAGTTGTATAAGTTCTTTATATATTTTGGAAATTAACCCCTTATCAAATGTATCAATGGCAAATATGTTCTTCCAAACAGTGGGTTCCCTTCTCATTTTGTAGATGGTTTCTTTTGCTGTGAAGAAGCTTTTTAGTTTGATGTAGTCTCATTTGTTTATTTTTTCCTTTGTTTCCCTTTCCCTAGGAGATAAATCTGCAAAAATATTGCTACAATAGATGTCTGAGATTTTACTGCCTATGTCTTCTTCTAGGATATCTATGGTTTCATGACTTACATTTAAGACTTTTATCCATTTTGAGCTTATTCTTGTGGATCCTGTAAGTTGGTGGTCTAGTTTCTTTCTTTTTTTTCTTTTTTTTTTTTTGCATGGATCTGTCCAATTTTCCCAACAGCATTTATTGAAGAGACTATCTTTACTTCATTGTATGCTCTTGCCTCCTTTGTCAAATATTGACTTTAATGGCTTGGGTCGATTTCTGGGTTCTTCGTTCTGTTCCACTAATCTATATGCCTGTTCTTGTGCCAGTACCAGGCTGTTTTGATTACAGTGGCTTTGTAGTATAGTTTGATATCCAGTATTCTGATCCTTCCAACTTTGTCCTTTTTTTCTCAAGATTGCCGTGGCTATTTGGGGTCTTTGTTGGTTTCATATAAATTTTTGGAATATATTTTCTCGATCTGTGAAATATGCCATTGGTATTTTAATAGGAATTGCATTGAATTCATAGATTGTTTTAGGCAGTATGTACATTTTGATGATGATATAATTCTCGCAATCCATGAACACAGTATATGCATCCACTTATTTGTATCTTCCTCAATTTCTTCAATGTCCTGTAGTTTTCTGAGTACAGGTCTTTTACTTCATTGGTTAAATTTATTCCTAGGTACCTTATTTTTTTTGTTGTAATAGTAAATGGGATTGTTTTCTTAGTTTCTCTTTCTGATAGTTCATTATTGGTATATAAAAATGCAACCAATTTCTGGATATTGATTTTGTGTCTTGCTACTTTGCTGAATTCATTTATTAGATCTAGTAGATTTTTGGTGGAATCTTTAGGGTTTTCTATGTAC